GAGAAACCCCAGAGCTGACACAGACTGTGAGGATGTCCCAGCCCTGGGAGTGCTCCTAAGCAGGCACAGGGCTCTCCCAACAGCTGCCAGCAGCCTCTGGCTTCGGGAGCCCTGAGCTCCAACTGAACACATCTGAATGAATTGATGTAAAGCATTTAAAAAAGTATGCTGGACTTGAGAGTCCACAGGGAGCTGTACTGAACACTGCTCCTTTTCCATGGAGTTTTGCCACCTTGAGCAGACACTGTGACCTAGACCAACAATCCTTCCCTGCTCCAGCTGGGCTGGTGACACAAACTGGTCCCATACACTTGCTCAACACCACATATTTGTAACATAAGGAATGGGCTGTTACAGGCAGTGCAGAGTTACAATACACCACACCTTAAAACAAGGAGGTTTTTTAAGTTTTCTAATATAAGAGTCGATTCTAAAAGGCACTTAAAAACATTAAAAGGGAGAAAAAAAAAGGAAAAAAATGCAGTAGCAGTAACCCTGCTGCTGGGTCTGCAGCAGAGCAGGGCTCTCTGTACAAACGTGGGGCGACAGGAGCCGTGCGGTGACCAGCTGCTCGCCACTCAGCCGAGGGGAGCTGCAGGAGCAGGCAGTAGAGATTTCATTGCTTTCACCTCCTCCCTGCCAGCACTTCAGAGCATCACAGCCAGCCCCAAGGCTCCAGACTCGCTCTCCCTATCAGTCTGGGTCCCTCACGTCCCTCAGGCAGTTCTCCAAAGCTTCAAGATCTTCTCTGTGCTTTAGAGAAAAGATGGCAAATAACTCGTCAAGTGAAAAGGAGAATGTCACTGTCATGCGAGCAAAGCAAGGACGCCAGAGCACATCGAGATGTCAGTGAACACGCGACTCGGGCCCCCAGGCAGCAGAGGCTGAGGGTTTCTTCCTATGCTAAATAATGCTCAAATACAGTTTCATAATTGCATTATTTGAATACTCTCCCAAGTAGTATCTGAGCCTAGTGACTGCAAAATGTGGATGCTGGCTGACTCTAGAGAGCAGGGCAGTTCTGCCATGCCCCTCCAGACAAGCCTAAGCACATGGAGCAACTGCCGCTGGCTTTTTCTACCATGAAAGTCCTGGGCTTCTCCCAACAGACTGTAAATAGAGAATCCTATTGGAACCAAAGCCCAAGATAGCATTTTACATTTCCAATGTTTAACTTTTTCTTCTCTCTCGCACCGTGTCATTAAGTGTTTACAAGGATGATTAATGACTGCGGCTGCCAACTGTTAACGAACGGCATCTCTGCTCAGAGCTGCAATCCGGTGTCTGGCAGGCTGTGCACAGACAAGGTTACTCCAACATCCTTGAGCCCCAGCACCCCGGGAAGCTCCCACTTCCCAGACAGAAAGCAGCGGGATGCATCTCCTGCAGACAACACATCTTGCTGCCAAAGTGACTAACAGTAATGAGGCACCACCTCCACCACCTCTGTCAGGGGACACACGAGCTCAGCTGGGGCACCTGGAGGGTGGCTCTGTGCCCTCCTCTGAGAACCCAGCCTGCTCCCATGGAAGGGAGCCGAGATCCAGAGCTCCCAAAATTCTCACTCAAGGCACACTGAGCCAGAAGCCTTTGCTCCATCCACTCACTGAAACCAAACTGGATCTGCATTTCACAAACCCTAAAATGGTTCAGAGTGAACAACAACTAAACCCTTAGAGTGAGGAACTCCCTCACAAGCACAAAGCACTGCAGAAGTTTCTCGCTACTAACTCATTTGTCTTAATGTGAGAAATAATATGAGAGCCCCATCTCTATCCTCTCCCAGAGCTGGAGAAATAAGCACAATGCACCTTTACAGGCATTTCAAAAATGTAAATCTGTAATTAAATTGCTAGGCTTAACTTAAGATTTTCTATCTCTGGTAAAAAAAAATTGAATTAGACGGAACACTTCCTTCAGTAGGAAATATAAAACCGCTATAAACTTGATTTAAGACAAGATGACATCTTGGTATGGAAATGTATTTCCATCAAACATTTCAGTTGCAAATGCATGATCCAATGGAAAGCACCTCAATAACATGTTTGAACCATTTTTAAGCGCTCCATTTCTCTCGCTGCTCATCACGTGATTTTACTACATGTAAAGTCATCCACAACCCACCCAGCTCTCAGAGGACACAGTTTCTCCCTCCCAGCTACCCAATCCTGAGTAACATCCAACCATCATTCTCAACTGCAGACATAAGTGCTCAGAAAAAGCTATTTGCTGTGTTCCCATGGTGATGCTCTACCCTGGCTGCTCCCTGACCTCTGCACCAGCAGCACCGAGGAACCGAAGAGCCCAGGCCCAGTGACTGCACATGCTCATCCTGCTGCCCACCACCCCCACAGCTGGAACACCTCTGTGCTGGGCTTCAGGGCCACCAGAGACAGGCAAGAGCCAGGTCAAGGCTCCTTGAACCATCCCCATGCAAAGAAGCACAAAGGGAACGTTCAGGAGTTGGGTCATGGCTTTGGAATTAGGGGGTTTGGCCCCCACCACCCTGGGGATGAATCCAACACCAATGTCTGCTACTCTCACACTCGGCAGCTCGTGGAGAGACTCCTGTGACTGCCCAACACACACCCTTTGAGGGAGGACAGCATTGTCACACACATTCAGATCTGTACGTTTAGGCATTTCATTTATTTTCCACCTTTTACTAAACCTCCCTGTCCAGGAGACGCCTCACACACAGGACAGGGATTCTGAAATCAGTACAAAAATTCTCTAAGTACCACCGTATAAAATACAACTTTTTCTTCTCTACTTTACAACTTCTGTCTTCACTAGCACAGGCAGAACACCTGTGTACTCAGATGAAAAAATGTATTCCCTCAGGAATGCCTCGAGAATGTAGTCCAACATTATTATTCAATTATACCCTAAGAAAATTTCAAGTTTTGTAACAGTGCACAGAATTAAACTTTCAGATTGGGGGTGGGGAAGGCAGTAAAATCTGGAAGCTCAGCTCCTTCCTCCCCCATAATTAACACAAATTTCCAAGACTTCATCTAAGCATAAGACTCTGGCTTTTTCTATTTTTTCCCCCCCTCTGAGCTAATGGGGCCAAAAAATCTCTGGCCACAAGAAAAGCTCTTTCACTTAAATCATGCAACAGGGATGCTGCATCACACCACACAGGCTGGCAGAGTCAGCACAAGCTACAACCCATGGACAGACCCAGCTCCACATCCCCATGGCGTAACAGCCTCAGTGAGAGATTTGTGATGAGGGGATACAAATGAGAGAGAGGAATCTGACATTCAGTAAGACCCACAGGGGTTGAGTCTGTTTTTAATGTCTCAGTTGATGACCTGTGTCGATCAGGAAATAATCTAATCCATTCAGAATTACAGCCCCAGACAATCCCACCAGCAACACACTGGTGAGCATTGGCAGAACTGCTCACTCCCCATTCCCCAAAACACTGACACAACCCTTAGGAGAACAGCCACACTCCCAAATTCTCCTCCTAACCTAATTCACCACACCAAGCACCTGCATTTTCCTTCTTTTGCTCATGAATAATAACAGTTTTCAGCTGCATAATGAACTTTGCCATATCCTGTACTCATAGGAAGCTCCACACACCAATCCTACCCAAAGCCACACGTGCACAAAGTTCTGCACTGGGGACAGCAGCAACACTAAAGTGATTAAACCCCACCCCAAGCAGCTCTTTCCAGTAAGAAGAAAGAACATCATTCTGTCACAAAGCTGTGCAGAGCTCGCTCACCCCTAACTGTGTTTGTCCAAACATCATCTGCCACAGCCACTGGAAATGCCACTGCCCTGTCCCCATTAATATAAACACTAACACAGAATAAACAGCAACCCACATTTTCTATTATTTACATTTCAAATGACCCAAGACAAAAACATCCACACAAAAAAGCCAAGGCCAGCAACTGCCCTTAAGACCCAATTCATTCTATCACAGTACTGGCTATGTTAAAAATAAATACCTGATTGTAACTTCAAGACACCAAAAGGAAGAGGGACAAGGACTCCAATTTTGAAAAATACACACAGTCACTGCTCTGTGATTGATTCCACACTCAGCAAACACACACAGAGAAGTGAGCTGTGTTTGATCCTGCACTCAGCTGCCACTTGCAGGTGCTAAACTCACGAGCACAGGTTCTGTTAACAAGTTTACATCTACAAACAAGGGATCAGAGGAACAGGACCAGTCAGCTCTGAACAAGCAGACACTAACTGGAGTTTTAGAGTCATTTCTCCAAGTGGATTTCCTCTATGATTAAGTGTTTCCCATAAATATGGCAAAACTACACCAAGCTACTAAAAATTTAAACTACACACTGTGGGTATTGCCATGGGATATTCAGCATTGCTGCACAGCAGGAATAAAGCCTAGGGATTACAGAGCTACCTGGGTTGTTCTTTAACTTCACCTTGCCCACAGAATTTAAAATACTTCTTTTTAATTTAAATTACCCCAACCATAATGCAGTAACAGGTGATCTGTGAACCAGCATACTCAAGAGCAACTGGATTCCAGTAAAAAACACTCAGTTCTGTGTTTTCCTTATTCTTAATGAGATTACTCAGACAGAGGTAAGCTGGTTATTTCCCAGGATCCTGTGTGGCAGGAAAGAACACACACCACTTTTTTCTTTGAAAGTCTTCATGCACAGGAAAGTAATACTTTATTCATCATGGTACAAGCACACCTATCTAATTTTAAACCATTTTGAAACAGGTCATTAAGGTGATGTGAAACTTGACTCTGAGACAAGTCACACACCTGAGTAATGGACTCCTAGAAGTCTAAAACAGAAGTCAACTTCCACATTTGCCTTCTAGTCTCACTTAAAGCTTACTTTCAGTATGTATTACAACTTATTATTTATGGAAGAGGTTCCAGAGCCAGGGAATTCATATCCTGTACCTTGCATGGCATGCTCTCACAAAACAATCCATAAGCATTAAGTAAGCTGGCACATTTAAGAATAAGTAAGAGGTTTAACTACCTCGTTAGTGTTCCAGCGGTGCCTCTCCTTCGGTAAACTTGAACATTTTGGTAGACATTCAAGCAGCTTCTTCGGTAAAAAGATTTTTACATGACTGCCATTGCTGTTCCCATGATCATCTAGAAAAAAAGAGGATATACATGATGTACACACAGGAGAATGGGTGGTTGCAACCATGAGACTCAAGCAACAAGACCTGGAAACCCCTCAGTTCCCCTGCCCAAAAAGAAAAATTTGCCATGGCAATAAAGACAAATAACAGCTTTCTGTTGAAACTGCAACTTTATTTCAGAGATATAAACACAATTTAATTCTTTCCCGTTGCAAAGTTTTAGAAGAACTTCAATGAATTTGGACAAAAGGAGCCTGTGTGTGCTTACCTGTGCCTATTTTAGCTCATTATTTCCCTCAGTGGCAAATTTTACAAGCAACAGCAACAAAACACTGTAGAAGCTGTGACCACAGCAGCACAACGTGCCAGGGAAGTCATAAATGAAGTTCACACTTGACAGGATTTGCAAGTAAATAAGCACAGAGCCCCAGCACCTGCTATAATTTTGTCAAGCTGCAGCAGAAATGCAACTCAAGGTCTATTAGTTCATTTAAAACTAAAACACACCATACCTGATCAAACCCAGGTAACTTCTATTTCCATTCACAACTCAGAAAGTAAATGCAGTTCCTTAACATGAGAGTGAGGAAGAGGGATGGAATTTTCCTATCTCATCATGCACAAGGGTCTCAAAAGCAGAAATAAAATTTTGTAAATATTACAAAATTATTGGATTTTATTGCTAAATATGCAGAAAGTGCATCAAGACTCAAGTCCCAAAAAGCCCTGCAATCCCACACCAGCAGCACCTTGAAGGTGTCTATCACCCTCTAACCCATCAAAAGAATCAAAGCACCCATAAAATGCACATGTTTATCAACAAAATCAGTCCCCACAGGAAAGGGAACTGGAGCAGCAGCACAAGAGAGACCAGCCACAGAATACAGAACTTTATCAGTTCTCCCTCCAAACACACCATATCTCTGTCATCTTCCACCAGCCTCATCCATCCCGTGACAGATCCTGGACAGTGCTACACAAACACTACAGTTACTCACTTGGCATTTTACCCTACAAAATTAATTTATAGTCATTTCCCACTTGAAAATGTACAGAAAAAGGATATTAACTTCATTTTACACATCTAATGATTTTATATCATAAAACACATGCCAGCACTATGACAAAACTCCTCTGCAATTCCACCCAACACAGACATTCCCTGTGACCTGCAGTGAACCCCACAGAGCCTGGCCCACGATCATTCTTAGAAATTACTTAGGAATTGCAGAGACTTCACACCAGCAGCCAGACATCCCTGGTATTCTTAAAGCTTGATTAGACTCTTGGATGTGTCAAGTTCAACAATATACATGCTGTTAAATCAACTGCTCGTGCAAGCCCAGCAGATGAGTTTACAAGATAAGCAGCGATGTGTATGATAAACGTGAGCTGCTCTGTAATTTATGAGTCCTGCACGCTCCCTCAGTTACTGGGAACTTTACTGTGAGCCTGTGCTGGACTAAATCAACAGGGCTGCCACTTCCCAACTTCTTCCTGGGCAAGGAGCAGCCAGGCAGGATTGATCTCTGCTGGACTGCTAAAGAAATCAGGGAGAGGGTGCTCTCCATTACGCCATTCCAGGATTTTCATTTGGATACTGAGTATTGTTGAGCATGAATCTGACGCCTTAAGCTTTAGCTTTCATATTATCCAGATTCTCTACTGCATAATATATAACTCTGAACTCCATATAAAGTGTCAGCAAGTTCTTCTCACAGTTTATTGAGATAAAACAATCCTTTTCCAGCCTCAGAACCAAGGACAACGTTGCAGCTTCAGGCCCAAAATGTGTAAGCAACAGCAAATTGAGGAGAGCAATCTGGGAGGATGGGACTGCATAACCTGAAGCTGTAATCGGACAATTAATCCCAATATGTAAATGGACCAAAAGTTATAAAAGTGTGAAAACTCGTGACCCACTGTCCATCTTGGGTGTAGCCTCAGTCAGGCTCTTATACTGTCCAAGGTGTATCCTTGGAAGGCCTTTTAATAAATCTACTTTATTCCTTTAGCACTGTCTAGCCTCTGTTCTAGGTAACCTCACAAGGTATCAACTCCACAGGGCTTTTTGGGCACATCCTTTCCCCTCTCCAGCCAATGTCACCACTATTTCCCTGCACTTGGGCCACTCAAAGCCTCACAGACACCCAAGCTGTGATACCTGGGGTTATGTACAAAAACAAAACTTGCCTGTGGCAAAGAGCAGAGCCAGGCAAGGCCTGCCATGCCAGCAGCTCCCAGCCATCTCCAGATCCACCTCCCAGTGCAGCCAATACTCACTTCCCACTCCCTGCATTCATTTTACACCATTTCCATTTCTCATTCAAAACACTGCATTGCTCTACATTCAATTCATTAAGGCACAAAGTATTTTACAGCACACATTATTGCTTTTATCAGCCAAACTACATCCCAGTTACATCTCATCAGCTTATTTTCCATGGGCACATTTTAATTGACATTAATTGTATTACTTCCCCTTACCTCCGTATCAGTCAAGCCCTCTATCACTCATTCCATTATTTTGCAGGGCTGGCAGACCTCTAATTATTCAGCTCGTTTTATTAACTTTCTTCCATTGTCATCAATTATCAGTATTATTAATCCAGAAAGTGCCTATGGATAATAGAGCCCTTTAAAATGTTTTGGTAGAAGTTGTCAGAACTTGCTGACGCTAAACCTTCCAACTCCTGTTGTTAGCATCTCCCACCTTCTGTTATTACAGCAATGGAAGGTCATTCTCACCATCCTGTAACACGACTACATCTCACGGATGCCTCCCTTTTCTGCATTTAGCAATGGCATTTCCTCACTCCAAAAAAATCCCCTAAGTGAAAAACAACTGCCTCCTGCCTCGATCCAACCAGGTTTTCATTATGGACTCCTCAAGCCATGTGGGCAGAATAAGACAAAACCATCACAGTATGGGATGCAAATTCTAAATCCAGTGACCTCTAAACCAGGTCTGACCTTGGAAAAGGATGAAATAAACCAACCAGCTGAGAGTGAAGAACCCCAAATATATACACACATTTGCCTTGAAACTTGCTTCTCAGCCCTCTGGAATCACCAAGGTATTCCTCCAGGGAGGAAAGTCCAGGGAAGCTGGGAACAAGAGAGGAGAAGAGGATTACTCACCCAGTAACACTGAGGGTACTGGTGGAACAAGAGCTCCCACTCTTCCAAATGAACCATCATGGTTTCCTGCTCCTGTTCCCCACAAATAACACCATGACATTTTCAGGGAGGTGGAGCAACACTCCTCACCCAAAGCTATGCCTTGCTTGAATCAAACCTGCCATTGCTGGTGCAGCTGACAGCCCATCCACCACCATGGGGCTCCAGTGAAGGCAGGAACAGAGGACCAAGGGTCCACACTGCTCTGCAGCTCTGCTCACCCAGCAGCACAGACTCCTCCATTTATCACCAACTAAAATTTCCTCACTAGCTAAAAACAGGAGCGGCAACATCCCAGCACTGATTCGGTTTTAATGTGCAAATCCAGATTTTTACTTGAACTTTCTCCTCATTTATTTTTGCCACGGTGTGACTAACAACACCAAGATCTGCAAATCCATCCAGTGTCAATAAAAAATGTCTGTGCAAGCAGAGCCACACTGGCATGGGGAGGATTTGCCAGTAAAGCTCTATCAACATGGGGGTTTTTAGTGCAGAGCTGGCCACAGCTCAAAAATGTTTCCCAAGGCAGGCACAGCCACAGCTGAGAACTCAAGTAAGGAAGCTACAGACTAAAATATAGCAGCCTACAATGTGTCCTGTTATAATTCAGGATGAAAATGCAAAATTTAAGTTCCATTAGCAATCTTCAAGATTACTTATTAGCAAACCAGAAACTCGTGTAGAATTAAGAAAGTGTAAGTATTATAAAGTTCATGGAAAGTTCCACATTAATTATACCACATAAACCCTTCGTCATTTTATGGGTTTCTTCATGCTCCTTGCACTTTATCCTCCCAAGGGATGCACCACGGGCCATAAAACTTTGAAGTGCACAACAGCAAATCACAGAGAGTCTCTGCTCTACCCCCACTCTCCAAACAACCCCTTACCCCCTTTTCTTTTTCTTTAACTGGTTCTTAAATCTTTGGTGATCCTGGAAGTGAATTTAGACCTGCAGCCCCATTAACTACTACAGTTTGCCTATAAAACATGTAATTAGAAAATAAAGTAATGCCAAAAGGATGTTCATCAGCTGTTGATCTGCAGACAGGTCTATTCTGGAAATAAATAACACAAGTAAGCCATAAACTCACAAACACAAGTTTTATAAAGCCATTATTATGAAATAATAACTTAGGGCTGGTCATCTCCTTAACTACCTCAAGAGAGGGAAGAGGTGTTTAAACATTACAAATGGGAACTTTAGTACAAAATAAACTACTAAAATCTCAATATCATGTTTATTTGGGAATGGGGCAACCATCCAGGTGATCCCACCACCACTGACCAACCACTGAGGTGGCAGTTTCAGCCCTACAGTGCAAAAGTGGCACCACAAAAACACAGTGCAGAGGCCACCACAGTCACTCAGTCACTTGCTGACCTCCAGACAAATCCAACAAACTCCGTCTGGAAGAAATAAATGCAAGGAATGACTCCAGATCCAAACAACTGCAGGACTGCCATGCTATTTCTCACAGTTAAACTTCAATCCTGGCATCTTCCATCCATAAAAAAGCAGCAACAGAAGCAAACCCAACAGCTCTTGGTCTGTTTGCTAGAAATATTTGTATCATTACAGTAGTAAATCTCTTGGCAACAAAAGCAGATTTCTAAATATCAATCAAGGGTGGCTAAGAGAAGATAACCAGGTCCAGCTCTGCAGTGCTGCTGTCTCAGCAGGGCTCTGCTGGATGCCAGCACTCGGTCACACACTGGCTGAGCAAATGCATTCCCAGGCCACCAGCACGGGACGCAGCCCAGGGCTGAGGGGAGAACCAAGGAAAGATTAAGCAGTTCAGGCAAAGGTAAAAAATATACAAA